GGTTAGCTCCACCAAGTACATTGTCGACGTCTATGTGCCGTCGCAGTCGCTCGCCGCCGTCACCATGACCGGGCTCCGGCAGCGCGATCATGGACCCGTTCACAGTTGTCAACAGCACCGACGCCGCGCTCTCGCTCGTCGTTCGGTCGGCCGGCTTTTCTCTCGGCGCCGTCCATCGCGCTGCGAGACCTGACGCTCAAGGTTCCAGGCTCCGGATCGATCCAGTTCAATGTCCTCGACACCACCGTGGCGTCACGAGCCGAGCTCTCGATCTCGGGCTCCGGCGACGTTGCGCTGCTTGGGAGCACTCTCCGCATGGACACCATCATGTCGTCCGTAAGCGGTTCGGGCTCGGCGTACGTCGGCGCGTCGTCCATCGTGAACGCGACGACCGTCTCCACGTCCATCTCGGGCTCCGGCGCCATCAACTTTTATAGAGCTGGATTCTGCGCCACTCAAGACATTTCGATCTCGGGCTCCGGCCAAGTGAACGCCGGGGCGATGGCGTGCGACGTCAACTCCGTGAGCATCTCGGGCAGCGGCAAGGTCTACGCGCACGCCCTCAAGTCCTTGAAAGCCTCCACGTCTGGGTCAGGTGACATTTACGCCGTTGCACCGTTGCCGGCGACGGTCACGGGCTCAATCTCGACGGTGACGACGCCGCCCGTCTCGACCTTTGAGCTCCAGAGCCTCCCGGCGTACGAGCCGTCGAGTGTTTTCCAATTTGGTTTGTTCTGGAGCGTCCTCATCCTGCTTGTGATCACGGCGCTTGCGACCTTTTGCATCCGCAAGTGCTGCAAAGCAGGCTGTTGCTGCTGCTGCCGCCGCCGCCCGCCGCCGCCGACGCCAGCCACGAGCATCCCGATCGTTGTTGTGGATGATCCCGCGAATGCGCACTACAACGCCGCGATGACGCCGGTTCAAGCCCACGCAGCCAAGCAAGTGTAGTATGGTCTCTCTCGACACTGCTTAATCTATAACTCTTCTCGACGTCGGCTCTGTGCACCTGTCTCTACGACCGAGTAGCCACTCGTGTCTTTGCGACAGCGGATAGAAGATGAATGCACCAAATTCACAATTTTCCTTCTGCGATGGAGGTGGTCTTCTTTGGCGACGAGGCGAGTTCGGACGACGAGGTGCGTTGCGTGAATCTTGGCTATCGTCTCACGCCTCGTAGACGGCGCTGGAAGTCGACGCCGACCTTGTCGTGACCAACACCATCATAGCCTCAGACGCGTGCTTTGTGCAGTACAAGGGTGTTTACAGCGGCAGCGACGTCGCTGTGCAGTTGGCGTACAGTACGCCTCAAGTCGACGCGCTTCGGAACGAGCTTTACATTCGATCGCGGTGCGCTATTCTATGGTAGTAGTACTGCTGCATTAGAGGTGCTAGGCTCTCGTCGCCGTACCTCGTCAAGCTGCTGGACGTGCGCCACAACGACTCGCCGCGACCAGTTGCGATCTTTGAGTACATGGATCACGGCTCGGTGCGCGACTACCTGGACATACCAGCGAACAAGCTCACCGCGCGCTTCACGCTGGCCGTTGCAGATGCTGTGGCCCGCGCGCTGCTGGACCTGCACCGTCATGGCATCCTCCACGGCGACATCAAGGCTGCCAACGTCCTCCTCGCTTCGGACGGGGCCATTAAGATTGGACATTTGGGTCTCGCACAGGTTGTGGACGAGGCGACGCCACGAGTGCTCGGCACTGGTACGCTGTGTTGGATGGCGCCAGAGGTCTTTGAAGACACGAGCTACAGCTTTCCCGCCGACATCTACTCGTACGGCGTGTTTCTAACGGAGCTCGACGCGCGCCACAAGCCGTACGCAGACTTGCGCCTCCATATGTGGGACGTCGTCGCGGGCGTACGCGGCGGAGCGCTGCGCCCGACGCTTGGGCCAGACTGCCTTCCGTGGCTGCGCGACCTTGCGACCTCCTGTTTAGCTTCGGATCCGGAAGCGCGACCGACGGCCAAAGATATTGTAGCTATCTTGCACGAGCTTGCGTTGGGGCCTCCGTAAGGGCACGAATGGATCTGTTGTGGTGTCATATTCTGGCCTTTCTACATGCATTAATTGACATTGCAGCAAAAATGATGAACTCACAACCCGAC